GCACTTCAAATTATTTATACTTTGGGTTTCTTTTCCTTTTTTCTTCCTTCCTTCCTTCCTTCCTTCCTTCCTTCCTTCCTTCCTTCCTTCCTTCTTTCCTTCCTTCCTTCCTTCTTTCCTTCCTTCCTTCCTTCTCTCCTTCCTCTCTCTTTCTTTCATTTTAAATATGTCACACTGCTGTGCAGCAGATTTGGACAACTTTTCCATTTTGTGAGACAAAGTTGCAACTCTTCATTCCTTCTTCTTCAGCCTCTGAGAACCAGCATTCTCATCTCTGTTTTTACAAATGTGACTATTTTAGATATATTAATGTAAGTGCAATCACACAAAATTTAGTTTTGTGCCACTAGTTTATTTTACTTAGCACAGTTCCCTCAAAGCTCATCTATAATACGTTATAACCTGTGAAGGGCTTTATTCCTTTCTAAAGCCAAATAATATCTCTTTACGTGGATATACCACACTTGCGCATCTATTCCTAAGGTTATAGGCATTTGTGTTATTTCTAGTTTTTAGTTATTAGGAAAGATGTTAAGAACAGTTGCATACAAGTTTTTTTGTGGAAATATGTTTTCAATTGTTCTGGGTATACACTACAGGTATGGAACTTCTGGGTTATATAATAGCATAGTCAGATTTGTCAGGAATGGCTAAAATGCATTCCACAGTGGCTGCTCCATTTATATTTTCACTGACAGTGTACAGGGATTCCAATTCTTCCATACTCTGGCTAATAACTGTTATTGTCTTTTTTTTCTTTTACTATAGTCATCATAGTGAATGTGAAAAGGTATATCAATGTAGTTTCGGTTTATATTTCCCTACTGACCAGTGATGCCATTTTTATTCTTTAAATGGAAGAGGGGAGGAGACAGGTCCCAAACTAATACTTTCATTCTCTGTTATAATGAGGAAACCAGGGTGACCGGGGAATGGATTAAGGGAAGGTTATCAGGACTTCTGAGGTACAATGAATATTACCACTGTTGATAATAATATTGCTAAAATAACTCATGGCTAACATTGTCAATCACTGTTCTGAGTGCTTTTACTTATTTCATCTCAACAACACTTGATACAAGCATACCTCGTATCTATGAATAACTCCTTCACAAGCATTCTTACAGAGTTCCTTCAGGAGAGATCTTACCTTTTGATCTCTGGTTACCCTGATATTGAAACTTTTATCTCCCAGCTTTATCCTACATGGTGTCTACTTTCTCTGTTTTATTCTGGAAGGGTAAATTCCAAGACTTTTCTTTGTTTTTCTGGTTAAAAGGTAATTCTTCTCAAATGTTCACCTTCAGTGTTTATTTTTGGCTTGCGAACACTTCTTGTAGCTTAGGAAGTAAGAAATGAACACTAAATACCTGAGCTGATTACCTTCTACACCAGACAGTTCTTTTAGCAGAGAATCTAGTCAGACTCATGTGCAGTTTGTCACAATCTTCTTCCTTCTCCTATAGAATGTGTTCAGACAGGAGTGGTGTATCATAGCAAGCCCATCCCTGTTGGTCCATGGGCTCATTATTAAAGGTCAAGAATGACAGCAGTGAAAGTCAGTGCACAGGGCCAATGAGAAGGGCTGAAGTAGCTGATGTGTCAAATCTGAGTGTTCTGTTTTAAGAACCTTGTTAAAGTGGGCTGGTATTGGGTCTGAACATGGGTAAACTAAATTCAATGCGTAGTTTCAAATGTTGTTGGTAGCTTCCAAGTTTTTGATCACTAATTATTGCATTGGTCATTCAATCTTGAAGTTGTTTGGTTCACTCAACTGATAAATTATAATTTGAGCTGTGTCACTTAAACTTCTCCCATGGGTTCACTGCAAGCTTATAAGCTTTAATTTAGATTTGCAAGCTTACAATCGATAGAAGTGTCTTATCTATCTGAGTGGAGAACACCTCCTGAGTCTGAGCACACAAACATTTTGTGATCAACTGAAGAAATAGGCTAAGCAAAGTAGACATTATAAGGAGCCTTTCATTTTGGTATATCAGAGTTACATGATTGCTTAAATGGAAGCCTAATTCACAGTAGTATTATATTGTCCCTGATGAACCCATATAAGGAGCCGAGTCTTGTTCAATGTTCAAATGAAAATTAAAATATTTAGCTCACAAGAAAGTATCAAGTGTTTAGCTCAGTTATGATTTCTGCATAGATATTCTCATGCCAGAGACTGCTATATTCCTGTTGGACTGGTCACACCTTCCATATGATGCAGATACTTCTCAGGGGATAAAGGTAATGAGGAAGTGACATTCTGCCTCACCCACGGGTGTGTACACAAGAGTACAACATTTGAATTTTGCTGTAGGTTAAAAATCAGAAGGGAGCTACCCCTAAGAGTAAAATCTCGTCTATCAATGGCAGAATATAGTAGGCAGTGATAAAAAGAAAATGGCAAAATATGTTATAGTTTTCAGAAAATAGAAAAGAGATAGTCCAACAATAATCTTCCATTAATAAATAAAAAGTGGTGTTAAATTTTTTTCACACATTTTTCTGATGGAAATTTTGTAAATGGCTTGGAGACATGGTAGATTGTTATTCTTTGTGAGAAGTACGTATAAATTGCTAGTAACATTTTCTCTTCTCTGGAATGTTTGAACTTGTTACTGATCATGAGTCTGGGGGAATAAGTATTGAAATATCAACATGTGAATAATTATAATGTCTACTTTTGTGCAGCTAGCTAGAGATATCTATAACTGTTATGTACATCTTACAAACATTCTACATGTTCTTTAAAATGAAGCACACATTTAGACTCACCACCAATATCTATTCAAAAACTATTGTCAGAGTGGGAAGCAGAGCATAGGATTGCTGCTGATGATTACAAACAGTATGGAAGAGAGATTCATTCCTTGTAGGCTTCACTTTTTGCTTCTATTTTTTATCATTTGCTGAACCTAAGGAAAATGAAAGATTTCTTTTACTTGCAATTTTAGTTTACTTGAAATTACCATATGTTGTGGCAGTTAAGAATGTAAAGATTTTTAAAATAAGAACTTCTAGTATTGAATGGGCAAAAATAATTTAAAATTCACTAAATGAAGGTTGAATGTTAGGAACCATTAAAAATATGAAGACGATTTTTAGGAAGGTGAGCATATTTTGTAAGATATGGTAATGGTAGATTCATGCCATATACATGTGTTAAAAAGCATAGAATGTATAATACAAAGAGGATACAAAGGTGAACTATCAATGTTAGTTAACAATATTATATTAACATTGGTTCATCAATTCAAACAAGTGTATCAAATTAATGCAAAATATTAATAATAGAGAAGGTTGGGGATAGGAGATACAAGAAGAGGCAAAGAGGTAAATGGAAATTCATTGTGCATTCTGCTCAATTTTTCTATAAGCCCAATTTAATTAAAAAAGAGCAATAAAAGCAAAGGTCGTAGAACTTTTAGGCTCACAGAGGGGAGAATGATGTAGTAAAAGAAGGTGAAAGTAATACAGAAGAAATAGAGCAGATAGGACACATTACACATAGAAAACAGGAGATTTAAACAATCTATCTTTAATTACATCTAAAATAAATGATTAAGAGCTTTACAGATTTGAATAATAATAATGCTAACAAAAAGGTAAAGCTCAATTCTATGCTATTTATAAGAAACACCTACAATTTAAGGACAGAGAATATTTAAAAGTAATAAAGATGGAAAAGAGGCAACATTTATGTATTAACTAAAATAAATTTGCTATAGTGTTGTACAGATGTACCTCTTAATGAAAAAAATTCATTTTTTACAGACACATAGAAATTCTTAATTTTTATCTACCAAGTAACATAACCGCAAACACATGTACACAACTATAGGCGATAGGCAGATCACAATCATATTGGAAGGCTTGAGCAACATGTTTTGCAAGCTCAACTTAATGGATTTGTTTAGGTCCTGTCCCAATAATCACAAAATAAACTTTCTTCCAACTCCATATAATTCATTAAAAATAATCAACTTCATACTATGCCATAGCCAACTCAACCCATTTTATTTTTATATTTATTTATTTATTTTTTGGTGGTACCAAGGATTGAACTCAGGACCTTGCACTTGCCAGGCAAGCACTTATTCCACTGAGCTATCTCCCTGGCCCCCCAACTCAACACATTTTAAAGATTTGACAATATCTAGTGTCCATGTGCTAAATGCAGTTGACTTAAAAACAGACAGACAAATGAAAAATCCAAAATCTAGTAATTTATGTAAATAAAATGAGATTCAGAAAACTGTAAGTTGAAGAAGTAATCATAATGAACCTTATAAACTATTCTGAACTAAATAAAACACCATATTTAAATTTATGTGATAAACCTTTAAATACATAAATATATTTTATATAGATTTCCTGTATGCAGCAGAAAACACTTTAAAATGCAGACAATAACTGCACATCTAGACAAAATAAAATCCTGTCTTCTGAGCACATCAGAACAAGACAACCGACAGTTCTTTGAACGCTCTGGAGACTAACAGGACAGGGAGATTTTTGGGGGCAACAGTGTAAACTTGGAGCAAGGGACCCACATGGAATGAATTCCTCATTCTAAAAACTTTGACTCATTGACAGTCACATCCACAGCCATAGTTATGGGAATTCAGGAAAACCCACTGATGAAAACCCCTCTGTCTTCCAGGTAGAAATACCAGAGCTGGGAAGAAGCCTAGTCAAAACTGGCCAGATACTGAAGGGTGATGGGGAATTGTAAAACAGAGGAGATTCTTCAGATGTGAATGGAACACTACACAAATCTCAAGCTGACCTTTGGGACAAGTACCAATTGGACAGATTGAAAACAGTCCATGAAAGCTTGAAGAATTCATACAAAATACGACCCATCAATCACAGATGGAAAAATAGATCTTACAGTTTGAGTCAACCATCTTAACACCTGGATAAAATAAAAACATCAACATTCATCAGAGGCAGATAGCATAACTATGTCTGCACAACCCAGTGTTCAAAACATTCAAGATTTCCTAACATTATCTTATTCATAGAAAACCCGTAAAATGTAGTCCATTCTAAATGAAAAAGAAAACCAACCAAAGCCAACCTGCCAACCTGCAGGTGATCCCATTGTTAAGGTTACAGACTGTGTAGGGCAGCTCTGCTTTGTTCAGTGAGGTAAAGGAACATACACTGAAGATGAAAGCAGGCACAGCAAATACCAGGAGAGAGACAGAGAGGAGCAGTTAATGCGTCAACTTCGTCTTCTTTTTCTCCTTTTTCCTTCTTTTCTCTTCTTCAGGAGAGAGACAGAGAGGAGCAGTTAATGCTTAAACTTCGTCTTCTTTTTCTCCTTTCTCCTTTTTTCCTCTTCTTCATTTCTTGTAACATTTTCCCTCTCTTTTTCCAGTTTTGCATGCCTGTATCTGTTAATGTGAATGACTACTTTGAAGACAACACTACACAATACAACAAAATGCTGTCACATTCTTATTATTTTGTTTAGTGAAATTCTGTATCATTTGTAATTTTTGCTTTTATTACAATTTTGTATTCTCTTGAAAAATACAAAAGAAAGAAAAATATAAGCCAAATAGAAATTTTATTGCTGAAAATAATTTTTAAAAAGTCATTGGATGAGTTTAATAGTAGTGTAGAGATAACAGAGGATTCATTGAATTTTAAAAATAAAGCCAAAGAATTATTTTATTGGAAGAAGTGATACAACTGATCAGGAATCTGTGTGACACGAACCAAAGATCTCACAAAGGAACTGAAGGAAGAAAGTGGAACAGGAAAGTATATGCAGAACTTACGGGAAAAATTTCCCAAATATGGTTAAAGACATAAATTTATAGCGCCGACCAAATAGCTCAGTGGATTAAAGCACCTGCAAGCAGGCGTAGGGGCTGAGAGTTCAATTACCAGGCCTGCCGTGCCAGCCCTGCCCTGGGATGCACTGAGACAGCAACTGAGACTGGGCATGGTGGCTCCTGCCTGCAATCCCAGCTCTTGGGAGGCTGTAAACAGGCGGATCACTATGAGTCTGATCTAGTAGTGAGACTGAACACCCTGTAGACCCTTCCCTAAAATACAAAAAAAAGGACATAAATTTATAGATTCAAGAAGCTCAGCTAAACCCCAAAAAGGATAAGTGCCAATGAACATCATGATCAAATTCTTGGAAACTAAAAATTAAAAGAAATATGAAGGCAGTCAGAGAATACTGACATCTTACATACAGGGGAACATCAACTTGGACAACTGTATGCTTCTCAGACATTACAAAGGCCAGAAAGTAGAGAAAGCACTTTTCTAAAGGGTTGGGAGAAAATGATTAAATTTTATATCCAGCAAAATTGCTGCATAAGAATGAAAGTAAAATAACTTTTCAGGTGAAGGGGAATATCAATATTCCTTGCTAGGAGTCCCACACTACTAGATATTCTATTTATGTATTTTTTGCAGTACTGAGGATTGAACTCAGGACCCTGTGCTTGCCAGGCAAGTGCTTATTCTACTGAGCTATCTCCCCAGGCCCTTAGATATTCTAAAAAAGTTTATCAAACTGAATAAAAATAATCCCAGAAAGAATCCTAGAATTTCACTAATGAATAAAGAATTAAAATTATAAATTATCTGGTCAAATGTAAAAAATTGTTTTCCTTGCAAGTTTCTCATATGCATAAGATTATTAAAACAAAAATAATTATCAATGCCTTGTGAACTTTTTCACATGCATAGAAAGTCTACCTCTGCCATGTTTAACATCAAGGGTGGTAAGAAGGAAATAAAATATTTATATACTTGTGAGGTATTTTCCTTTATGTGAAGTGGTACAACACTAAATGTACTATAAAATGTTAGAGATATAGTATATAATTCCTAGAGCAATTATTAAAAGATGAGAAGTATAACTATAGAGACAATAGATTAATTAAACAGAATACCAAAATGATCTAAACAATCCAGAGAAAGACAATGAAATGAGAGTAGAGGAATTTCATAAAGCAAACAATAAAAACAAATAAAAATAATAAAATATAAGATTTATTTTTTAATAGTCTTATTGAGAAACAAATAGCAATGAGACAGTTTCAAAACCAATTAGTAGGACCATTTCAATAATTAATACAATTGCACATTGTTGTCTTCTTAGTGGTTATTCATAGTACAAGATGCAGACAGGATATCCTGTCCACAGACACTACTAGAAAAAATCTTTCTATTCATTGAATTAAGAGAAAGTATCTGTATATCTATCCTAGATATTTTGAATACATAGATACAAAGTGGTCGTTCATTTGTACCCCCTTTTTTGTTTAGTTTTGTCATAGAAGGGTGTTCCATTGTTATTTAAATATTGTAGGTGCATGAATTCAGCAAAATATTCCAATATAGCCCAGTAGTCCATAATAGTAGTGGGTTTTCCATAGGACTGGCAATGTCAGAAGTTGTTGACTTGAGCCTTATACAGCTCAGCAAAATATAAGATTTAAACTTAGCCACATCAATACTTAGGTTAAATGTTAGTGCTATGAGCAAAAGATTCACAAACTTTCCAATAAGAGGTGGAAACTGCAGAATACATTAAAATTAAGGTAATGAACTTAAGGTAATTTCATTTTAAATTAGGATATTGTAACTGTAGGATATATTAAGTATTATAGTAACCACAAATAAAAAAGTTATGGTAAATATAAAAAAAATAAAAATAAAGTAATCAAAGACCACCACTGCAAAATTTAACACACCACAAAACATGTTCCAAGAAATCCTTACAATTAACAAAATATCCGAAGTCCTTGTCCATCCCACGTGCACTTGCTAATGACTTGCTCCACATTTGATCTCCATTTAATCAATATTACCTAAGCAACCATACTTGTAATCTTATTGGTTGACCATAGTTTTATCCCACCTCACACCCATCCTGTCATTTTCCATTAAATCAATATTACCTAAGTGACAATACTTGAAATCTTATGGATCAATGATAGTGCTGTTCTACCTTAAACCTACTCACTTTGTTGCTGGGCTCAATAAAATACCCTTGGAAAGTGGGGTTGGTGGGCAATCTACTTTCCAGCTCCCTTTAGACAGAAGCTTTCTGTCTCTTAAAAAATTCTTTCTGCTTTTAAAAAATAGCAAATTTAAGAAATATAAATGGATTTATATTTTAAAATATGAATGGATTAAGTTCTCCAAAAGATACACAACTGATAAATAGATGAAAGTACAAGAGACCTACAAGAGACCCCACATTAGCCTTAAAGACATACAGATATACTAATGGCTAGCAAGGCAAGGGATGCAAAAAGATTCGCCAAGTAAATGGTAACCAAAAGAGAGCAAGGCTATCTCACTTATATTAGACAGCCTTTAAACCAAAAAATGTTGAGAGGCACTGGAGCGCCTAAATATATGAGCATATGTACTAAATCTATAGGGTGAAATAAAGACTACAATAAAAATTAGTAGGGGATGTCACTCTAATTCAAACAAAAGATAGATAATGCAGACTGAAAATCAATAAGGAAACAAATTTGTAGGCTAAAATGGACTTAACAAACACACAAAACATGTCATCTATTAGTAGCAGATGCATATTCTTCTGAAGAGTACATGGAACATTCTCCAGGATCATAAACTAGGCAATAAAGGAAGTATTAATAAATTTAAGAAGACTGATATCACATCAAATATCTTTTGTGACTAAAATGCAATGAAACTAGAAATCAATTAGAGGAAGAATTTTGGAAAATTCACAAATACAAGAAAATTAAACAGCATCTTCCTGGACAACCAAAAAAATCAAAGAAGTTAAAAGAGGAATTTAAAAGAACCTTGTAACAAATTAGTGGAAATAAATATACCAAAACTTATTGGGCTAAAGTAAAAGTAGTTTTGTGAGGGATATTTATAGCAATGAATGCATGTTTTTTATTACTTTTATTGAGAAACAAATAGAAATGAGACAGTTTCAAAACAGATTAGTAGGACATGTATTGGATTATTTTTCTGAATTCATGAATGCATATATCTTAAGAAATAGTTTCAAATTAAAAAATATATATCTTAAAGATACTAGAAAATGAGGAATAAGCTAAACCCAAAATCAATAGTGGGAAAGAAATAATAACAGATGAAAAATAAATGAGACAAAGTCTAAAGAGACAATAAAAACATCAATGGAACTAAGAGTTGGCTCTTTAGAAAGACAGGCAAAATTAATAACCTCTCAACCAGGAGAAACAAAACAAGACAGGGATAATATGAAATCATACTGGGAAGAAGAAACATTACAACTGATGTCACAGAAAAAAGAATATAGAGATTGAAGTTGTTTTAATGGAGTGGACAGAGAACACTAAATAAGCTATGGGACAACTTCAAGTGGCCCAAAATATGGGCAATTGGAATCCTCAGAGGAAGAAGTGGGAATAGAAAAATATTGGAAAAAATAGTAATTGATAAATTTCATGAAAACTGTAAGCCCATAGCTCCAAAAAAACACAAAGCATCATATGCAAAAAACATGAAGAAAACTATGATTCCATGAGATAGGAGTGTACACTGGTTCAGAGAGCAGATATAAATATATGTAAGTTGACATTATCTTTAAAGCTAAATTTATGGCAACATTCAATATTCTATGCCTCAGCAATTCCAATTTTAGACATGTTTCTAATAGGAAAGCATGCACATGTGCACCAAAAGATAAGTGTACATTCATATTTATTGCAGAATTACTTATGACAATCTCTAATTGAATGTGTCTGACTCAGAATAGATAATACAGAAATAAAAAGAAATTAATATGATATACATTGAAATCACAAATATATTATTGACCAAAAGAAGCCAGCCCAAAGTACCCCAAATAGTAAGTATCTAACTCCACTAATATGACAAACTAAGAAGTCAGAATAAGCTATATTTTGAAGGACAAAGTGTGGGAGTTGGAAGTAGGGACTACATGAGTCTCTGAGGAACTGATAGTAACCTATCTCTTGACTGGTGATTTCATAGATTGAATCACTTATCATTAATCAGAATTTGTGAATTTGTTGTTCATAACACTAAAACTTAACCTGAGTATCAATGTGGTTTAATTTAAATATTTCAAAATAGTAAGTAAATGAAAACATTCAACCATTTTAGTAACAAGGACAAGGCCAAATGAAATAAAATTTTTACTGTTCATTTATGGTGATGGCTTGTATCTAGATGTTCCCCCAAAGCATGTTGTGCTCAAAGGTGGGGCTTTTTGTGACGCTGAGGTTAAAGGTGGGTGGTACTGAATTATCCTACTAATTGGAATTAGCATGGTTCTGGGTGGCACCACCCAAAAGGCTGGTAGACTGGTTGTAATAAGAGAGAAAGGAAGGCTAATGCTTGCTGCTCACTGCCTTCTGCCATGCCATGCCATGGACTGTTTCTCCTTTGGTGTGCCTCTCTGCCATGTTGCTCTGCCCTGGAACCAGCTGATTATAGACTGAAACTTGTACAAACTGTGTATTCAATAAACTTTTCCTCTCTTAACACGTGGGTGTTGGGTATTTTGTCCCAGCAATTAAAAAAGTAACAAAGACACTCACCAAAACAGGTAATGCTAAAATCATTGATAATAGGACACACTGGTAGATATAACAATGTAATTCTTACATGCTGATGGTGAGACTACAAATAGGTAATATCACTCTAGAAAATAGTTTGAAATAATCTATTAAAGCTAAGCCAACACAACACTCTATGATCTAACACTTATTCTTCAAGTTATATACTTAATAAATGTGTTACCAAGAAACATGTACAAGAAGAACGATAGCTAATTTTTTGGTAATAAATCTAAGTTGGAAACAACCTATACAATAAACAAACAAACATCGGCAACAACAAAACAAAACAAGAGCAGTTATATCACATTCCATACAACGAATACCATATACCAATGAGAGTGAAGAACAACCACACACAATGGATACATGAATAATTTTGAACAAAATAAACCAGATAGAAGTGAATACTTAATATGTGGGATTCCCTTTATGTCTAGCTTTAAAAACTAACAAATCTAAACAAAAGCATGTCATAATTCATGTTTAGTAAAATTTTAAAGAAAAGTCAATTTATTATTGTAAAGGTCAGAATGACAATTCCTTTTTGGAGAATAATAATTATAAGGGAAAGAAGATGAGCTTCTGGGATGCGGGCAATATTTTAATTTTTAGAAATTCGAATGGTAGTTACATATATGTTTACTTTATGTTAATTAGGAGTTGCACGTATTTTGTTGTATAGCTTTTTATATTTTGCAATTGTGAGAATAAAGAGGTTGCTCTTTTTGTCTTATTCCATACCTGGCACAGCATAAAATGCAAAGGGTCCTCTGGCCTTTCAAAGACTAAGTTTTCAGTGATCTGCTGAGAGAGAGAGAGAGAGCATAAGGCTTCACAAGTTCTGAAAGAAAGTTATGCATTAGGTTATAGCTCATCAATTTTTCCCACTAGCCTGAGTGTACTATAGCACTTGAAAGATATTTATAGGACTCTACAAAGGAACAACTTTCTTACTGCTGATAAAAGCAGGAAAATTAAGATAAAATTTGGAGGAATAAATATTCAATTATAAATAGCAATAGATAGTAGTTTCTAAGATCAAAAAGGTAGTAAGAAAGTCCAGATAGAATCTTTGTTTTAAGAATTTTAATCTTGACAGACTGATAATAAATTACTTATGTTGAGGACTACTTGAAGAAATATCCTTCAAATAAACATTGAAAATGTTGTGTGATCTTACATATAATCTTGCTTCTGAGACATTTGATTCTAAAAAGTAAAAGTTATGTTCAGTTGCAATATTACAAGAAAATGCATACATTAAACTTCAGAAATTCACTTCCTTATGTTTTTGTAGTTACTGGGTAACTAAAAAAAATATAATAAACATTTTCCACTTGTAGAAATTAATAGATAAAGTTCAGGTATTTAGTTACATTTAATGTATCTACATCATTCTATTATATATTTGTTGTTGTTGTTGTTGCTGTTTTTGGTGGAACCAGGGATTGAACTCAGGCCCTTGTGCTTGCCAGGGAGGTGCTTATTCCACTGAGCCATCTCCTCAGCCCTTCATATATATTTTTAAATACATATTACCTTTTCTTATAACAAGTTTTATATATAAGCTTTAGTTTTTGAAAGATGAAAATTAAAGAATGTTCAAAACTCTACTGTCTTCAACTGCTTTTGTCTTTAGGTTTAATAATTGATTGTTTTTTGATTTAAGTCAGAAACTCAGCCATTAGTAAAGACATTGTAAGAAGAGAAAGACACAAAGCAAGTTTAATAAAGTAGCTCTCCCTTATCCCAGTTTTTTAAGGAGGGATGTGAAGTTCACATGAACTTAGTATTTTTCCTCAAATCACAAAGATAACAAGCGGCAAAATTAGGATTTAAGCTATTGGCTAACAGGTTGCAATACCTGTGCTTTTTCCTCTACATTTTGCTTTACATGTTTTTCTTTTTTTTTCTATTTTATATTCATTTTGTTGAGAAAGAAATGGCAATGAGACAGTTTCAAAACAGGTTAGTAGGACAGTTATAATAATACATTGTACATTGTCTTCGTAGTAGTTATTCATAGTACAAGATGCAGACATGCTATCTTGTCTACACATTATTAGTTCAAAACTTTCTTCTCATTGAACTAAGAGAAAGTAGCTATATATCTATTCTATTTTGTATATACATATATA